GAGTATGGGTCACCATACTTGGCCACATGTCACGTCACTTTTCACTTTTTCACTTTTCACTTTTCAATATTACAGCGAGAATAAAAGTTACTCCTTCTTTCTTTGCGTTAACATTTGGGCTGCGTTATGCAAATCTTCCCACATCATGATGTAGACATGTGGGGGTGTGTTAGAATGAGCCGTTTTAGGTAGGTGTGGTTGACTCTTTTATACTTTTATAATTTTATAAAGAATATCTCTTTGGATTTGAGACTTTAGTCTTTGCAACTTTACAGATCTTCTTTATGCACCAAGAGCTTGTAACACTCCAAAGAGAAAGGAAAAATTTAAATCGCATCATATGACCCCTTTAAAAAGGGTACCGCCAAGAGGCTAATTTTAATTTATGAGAAAGAGCGACATTTCAGTTTGCAGGACAGACTTATTGCTTTCAGTTGGTGTCAGTCCGAGAGAGCACAGAATTATGGGAAGCTTCTTACCTGCGGGCTACTGGGAGTGTTAAAGCCCATACTGGGCGTAGAGGGCAAGGAAATGGATGGTGAGCCCAGAGACGGGGCGATGACTGAGTAGGGTGAGGCCAGGCCATTCATGGATGAGCCCAGGGTGCTCATGGGAGACTGCAGTGGGCGGGACGAACTGATGACGGACGGATGACCCACCATGGAGCTCAGGGGTGGCGGCTGATAGGGGGGCGAATTAAGAGCACTAGTGTCTGTGAATAGACAAAAAGAAAGATTAATATTAGACAAGAGCAATTAAAATTTAGTACTAAAATGACTGCTGATGACATCAATGATCATTGACACATAGACGCTTCACAAAATTACTGTTTTTACTGTATTTTTTAAGCAAATATATGCAGCCTTGGAGAGCATAGAAGACTTCTTTAAAAAAAAACAAAAAAACAAGTGGAAATCTTAATTATTCCAAACCTATGACCTGTAATGTTATGTATAAATCAAACAATCAGACAGGTCAGTGTGACAGGTCTATATAAATTTATCATGACACAACCTGTGTTTTTGTTTAGCATGTACAGACGTCAGAGAACAAGGTAAGTATGTGCCCATAGGGACATCAAGTACCTGTGGAAACGTGTGCCTTTGCAGAACATCAATTACCTCCTTTATTAAGGCCTAAAATGTGTAATGAAAAATATGCCGTTTGAGTAAATGTAAGAGGGCATATGCATACTGAGAGAATGCATTAAGCCCTGCTGCTTTAACCATTCAGTCAACAGCTGATAAGAGTGCTACAGTACATATGAGTACCTGGTAATGGTAGTTTGTACTGGCACAAACACAATATAATCTAATGTAGTACAAGGACACACACAGGGCAAAGGTTGCATCTTTTTTGCCAATACTGATAGTGTTGCAATCCGTTAACTCATTTCATCATTCATCAAGATGAAGATCAAATCAAATTCATCTAAGATTAAATTAACATGAACACAGCTTCAAGGAGGTTGCTTTATCCAAATGTGCAACACAAAAAGCTTTATCAGTGATTTGGTCAGATATTCTGGTGACTGTAACTGTTTATGTCTTGCAGGTTATTTCAATATAAGAATGTATTATTGCAAAATAAACCCAGACAGGGTGATCAAGACCCTGGCATAAAGCGGAGGGGATTCGTGTCACCCTGAAGTGGTTTATATTTAGCTAACAAGTTCACCGTATCCACTGTTATTATATGGCTGCTTACCAAATAAATAAATGGACATATAATGTTGCTTTGAGCTGAAATTATTTTAGCAAATGAAAGGAAAGAGACAACAGAGTGCTACAAGACACATGAAACTACCATGTTGTCAATGGACAATAATCAATTACAGTTTAGCAGTCAAAAGTGCATTAATATATATTTTTTTAGCTCTCGTATATTACTAAATGGCTATCAAGCTAAAAACTAAAGTACATAATATGCAACATTATGTAAAATCATAATTATTTAAATCATTATCTGTAATTTAAGTTATCTACATGTTTTATCATTCTCATGCTGAGAATGATGGGAAATGTAGCATGAACCACATAAACTTGCCAAATGAGAAGTTTGTACACTTTGAGAAAAAAAGGTACAGGGGTGTCAATGGGGCAGTACCCTAAGGTACATCTTAGTACCCCATTTACCCCAAAATAGTACATATCATTACCTTAAAGGTACTTATTAGTACTTTAAAAGCACATATTTAGTACCTAAAGTGTACATATTAGTACCTTTTTAATGAGTACTGCCCCAGTTACAGTTTTGTTCCTTTTTTCTGAGAGTGTAGTGAGTCACACCCTAATAAGTGTCTGAAATGAGCTTCTTTTGTAATATAATTCTCTATCTTGCTGTTTCTTTTACTTAAAATTAAAGAAATCCAGGATTTACTGTTTATTAACCAGGCATAAACATGAATTTCAGCACTTAAACACTATAGTATGTTATAAACAAACATTCTGCAATGGCTGTATTCTTCCAAGCTGGTGCATGTGTGTCCCAGACTCTGGACAGAAGGGGGAATTTCTGTGGCAGATAGCCAAGATGCCTTTGGTAGGGCAGAAACATGGTCATACTGTGGTCCGTGCGTCGGCCTATCCTCAAATGACCCACCTGATCTATTACATTTAAAACAGACCACACAAGTCCAACGACAAACTCCCTAAGGCTGAAAACAGGGCTGTTACACAGAATGTTTATGGTACTGCATCTTTATACAGAGCTGAATTTGACAGTAAAAAAGTCATAATATCGCAAATTAATGTTCACGATCAAATCAATACCAACATTTTTGTGAGGTACAGAAGGACATTAAGGCTCCCCCAGAATATATGCCTTTTAACCTATTACTCCAAAGTTTTAGTTTTATGTTTACTTTAAAATATACAAGCTTAACAAGTATAATTGACACCCTATAGATGGCAAGGTTACTATAGCTCTATCTCTGCAGATTTACATTTCATTAGGTCTAAAAAAAAATTGTTTAGATGCATCAACCTTTAGCTGATAATTCAGATCTTATTCTTCTGAGATGGTCCTTGTGCCAGACATTCATCAGGATTTCACAACGACTCTCAGCAGTGCACATGACCTTTGTACAGCTGTCTGGGAGCAAAGTGCAGCCTTTGGTAGACTGCTATCAAGTTCAGCGGAGACCACATGAAATGGCACAGGTCAGTGCGGGCACAATCACATACATAAACTGTCATAGCATGCTTCATGCAACAAACTGTAATGAATTTCCTCACAGATACTCTGTCTGTACAGTAAACACAGAGAAAGCTGTGTATAGTTTCAATGAACAGCAGACCAGGAGACTGACATTATTCTGACATTAGTAATACAAAGCTTGAATGGCAGATTGGAAAGTGACATGAAGCACATAAAGAGAGTGCACCATTAAAAATGTACAAAAGAAAAGACACACAGTTATTGTTTTTATTTTAATTATTTAATTATAACATATTATTTTTTAGAATTCATTCATTTTAACTACAAACAATGCAAGCCTTATTGCTAAAAGAAAGCTTTAGCATTTTCAAAATAAAACAATATTGAATGTGATTCCAAAAGTCAAAAAACAAAAACTTGCAATAAACTAGACTTTGCTGGTTATTGCATAATACTAAATAACAGGACATCCCCAAAAGTAAGTTTTGAGATTTAGCTTTTCAGATTTAGCAGCATATTATTGGCTGGAACCACAAACACACACACACACACACACACACACACACACACGCACGCAGACAAACACACACTGCATGAAAATCCAAACGGTGGATCCCCCCTCCCCTATTTTAAACAAAATCTCTTGATTCACTTATTTCCATCCTAAACGAAGTTGACATCTGATCAATAATGACACTAAACCCTCTTCTCATCACTGACAAATATTTTCAACCACCTGTCAAAAAGACAGGGGTTGTGGGGAGGGCAACAGAACAGACACAAAAAGGTGGAAGGGAGTAGAAGTGATGGAGCAATGGGACACTATCCCACTCTATCCCAGTCTGCCGTAGAGAGCTGCCGGACATTAAATCAACCCTGATTACTGCCATATGTCCATAATCCTCCAAAGCCCAGGACTACACACACACCTCATACTTCAGTTACCAACACCACTTAATCAACCATATAATAAACTACTTTATCAGCACACACACACACTATCTTTTGTATATGAATAATTAACCTACACACACAAAGTACATTTTATAGCTGGTAACAATATTATCTTTACTACCTAAACATCTCATTCACCATTCTTTAATAAGCATTAATTACATGTATGCTACACACACACACACACACAAATGTAAAAAGACACACAAGCTCATGTTTTTCTTATCAGAACTGCTGAAATAATGCATCATATTCATGTTCATGTCCCCAGAATCGCTGACGGAGGTAAAAATGAGCTGGACACATGCAGGAGGTCTGGGATATGTTGACATTTTTTTATGGCAGTATTGAGAGCAGTCTTACACTGTTACTAATTAAATTTATTTTTTTTGAAGGACTTGTGTGTTTGAGTGTGTGTTCTGTTGCAAAAAAAAAAAAGACTTAGGCCTATAACTGCTGCTGTAAGTGGATGACAAAGTCAGTGTTTGAAAAGGTACAGTGGCTTGCGAAAGTATTCATACCCCTTCATGTTTTTCACATTTTGTTGTGTTGCTGCCTTATGATAAACTTCTTTAAATTACTTTTTTTCCCACATCAATCTACACTCCATACACCATACTGACAAAGCAAAAACAGAATTGTCACAACTTCGTAAATGTATTAAAAATAAAACACTGAAATAAGTACATAGCATAAGTATTCATACCCTTAACTAAATATTTAGCTGAAGCACATTTACAGTCTCAAGTCTTTTTTGTTTGATGCGACAAGCTTTTCTCATCATCATTTGGCAATTATCTGCCATTCTTCTCCTCACCTCTTCGCCTCTCAAGCGTCCCTGCCACTGAAAAACAGCCCCACGGCATGAGGCTGCTACCAGCACACTTTTCTTTTGGGATGGTACTCTGCATGTGATGAGCATTGCCTGGTTTCCTTCAAACATGATGCTTGGAATTGAGATTCATCAGACCAGAGAATCTTGTTTCTCAGAGTCTGAGGGTCCTTTAGGTGCTTTTTTTTGCAAATTCCTAGTGTGTTTTCATATGTCTACACTGAGGAGAGGATTGAGTTTAGCCACACCGCCATAAAGACTGGATTGGTGGAGTGTTGCAGCGATGTTTGTCCTTCTGTAGATTTCTCCTATCTCCACATATGATCATGGAGCTCAACTAGAGTGACCATCAGGTTCTTGGTCACCATGCTAACCAAAGCCCTTCTCCATCTAATGCTCATTTTGGCCAGGAGGCCAGCTCTAGGAAGAGTCCTGGTTGTTTCAAACTTCTTCCATTAAGGGTAACAGAGCCTACATGCCACTGAGCCCCTCCAATGAAGCAGAATTTTTTTCTGAACTCTTCCACAGATGTGTGGCATGACCCAAACCTGTTTCTGAGCTCTACAGACAGTTCTTTTGATCTCAGGGCTTGGTTTTTGCTCTGATATGCATTATCAGCTGTTAGACCTTTTATTATTAAGACGTGTGTGCCTTTCCAAATCATACCCACTCAATTGAATTTGCCACAGGGTAACTTCGCTTGAAGTGTAGTAATATCTACAAGCAATATGAATGCTCCTGAGCTAAATTTTAACTGTCCCAGCAAT